ACTCACCTCAGCCTCCCAAAGGTGCGGGATGACAGGCTGAGCCACCGAGCCCGGCTAAATTTTAACTTTTATGTTAAAAAAAATTTTATCCTTTCTAAACTGAGTTCAAACATTGAAAATCTATCACCATTTGCCATATGGAGAATAGCAATGACCTACTGATTGGAAAGATTATCTTTCTATGCTTGGGAATATTCTGGCAGATAAGGATACCACGCCATATCATTAAGTTCACCATGTGTACTGGGTGCTCTGGACATATTTTGGGGTTTCAAAAAGTTTTTAGGATTGTTGCCCTGAATGCTATAGTATCAGCGAGGAGAAAGCAAGACAAAACAAATGACAAAGAGTAATATAAAATTAAATGCAATTGATACTGCTGAGATGTGGGAGAGACTGAGAGAAGCTACCATACTCATTCAACAAGTCTTCCTTGAGATGGAGGATCTTTTGGTGGAGGTGGCAAGAAGTCGTCGTGCTTTCTGTGATAGAGAGTGGCAGGGGAGTTCAAGCTCACACTTAAACAAGTGGCCCTGTAAACATGCCAAATTCCTTTTGAGAGAGAGCAAAGGACAGGGCAAAACTAGTAGGCATTGTATACCAGGCAATACCAGAAATCAACTGAAGTGTCAGCCCACTCTGTTATAAGGAGTATTCAAAAGTCACCTTTTTTCCATGGATTCACCACTCCCCAGTCTAGATAGTCTTTAATGACTTATCAGATTTTTACCTCTATAAAGAAATTCATGTTTCTTCTTCTCTTCTTTTATAGTCAGATACTTATCTTTTGCTAAGATTCAAGCGTTTATAACAATAATAACAGATTTTTTAAATTTACAATTTATTGAGCACTTACAACTTTTGAAACACAGCTAATTATTTAAGACTCAAATCTCCATAAGTCACGCACACTTATTATCTCTTTTCACAGTTAAAGAAACTTAAAATTTGATCCAAAATGTTCCACGACAGACCTAAGGCTATAAACCTACAAGTAAATGCTGAGGCTAAAACTTGAAACTATTTCTTGTCTTCATCTAAAACTCGATCTTCATTTTTGGTGTTGCCTGTTTTGTAATTGCCATTTAACTTATCTTTCTGCTACCATCCTCTCCCATTTAATTTTCACTTATCCAGAAGTAACTATCCCAAACTCAGCTCAGATAATGGGACTATTAATAGTAAATATAAGAATTGTTAGGTCAGTGAGCTGGTGCCCGGGGAATAAAGCAAAGGATTGCAAAGACAAAGCAAAGGACTTGATTCACTCTCCAGGGCAAGGGTTTGGAATGGACCAGTACTAAAGGAGGGTAGTGGCAGGCTTGAAATCAGGGAGTATTTAAGGTCTGTAGAATGTCTTCAGTAGCTGCATTCTTGGGTGCTGACAGCATAAGTCTGGGTTGTCAGGACAACATGTCTTGTGTCTCGAGGTGGTGAGCTGGTGGTCTGTCACATAGAAGGGCTACTCATAATAGATGAGATCAGCTTGACCCTTTATGGCAGGAAGACAAATACTTTGAATAGAAAGGTAGTCAGTACAAAGCATGCTTGGGTGGGTTACAAAACAATCATCCGGTGACTACCTCCAGGGACCAATTCTGCCGCTGTTAATGATTAGATGATGGGTTAAAGTCAATTGCTAAAAAAAAAAACAAAAACAAAAGCAGAAACAAAAGCAAGACAGAGTTAAGCCGTGTTAAAATGGCTGCCCTTTAAGTTACGGTTTTGGCATTTACCTTTTCAAGAATGTTCATCTTAAACCCTTCTATATCCTGGCAGGAATCTAAACATTTTCCATGTATTAGCTCATTTAATCTAATCCTTTAAACAACTCCATAAGGGCTGTGTGTGTGTGTGCATGTTTTATTTTATTCTGAAGCATGAGAAATTGAGATATAAAGTGACTGTGCCACTTTTTCAACAGCTAGTAATTATAAGGCGACAACCCCAAATCTGAGAAAGCTTGCACGTAAGGTTCTTTACCTATCCAAAAGAAGTCACCCAGAGGTCCAGCAGGGAGAGACACTGTTTCTTAGCACTTATGGGAGGCACCAGTAACAGCTGGT